GGGGGGGAGGGGCGGAGAAAAGTGAACAGTATGACAATGAAGCTAGGTGAGAAGACTAATGCAGCAGTGTACGGCAGTGACTATACGTGTAAGCAGCCTCAACCCCATCCCCACCTCCCCCGCCGGGCAAACCCCCCATTATTTTCCGCACGCCATCTTACGCCGTACATATGAAAACCCAAATCGCACCCTACCCTACCCCACTCCTCTACCTGTTTGGTGATTTCCAGCTGGGCCGACGCCGCCACCAGGGCGGCGATGACGTCCGCGTGGCCTTTGGCACTGGCCGCGTGGAGAGCCGTGGCGCCAACCTGCACAACCAACCACAACCACCATAACCACCACAACCACCGCGGACGAAACCAGATAGGCATGTCGACATGATGACACACTGGCAAACACATGCAGGGAAGGCCAGTTTACGGACAGATAAGGCCCAAGCTGACAACGCAAACGACATTCCAGCGGAACAGCACAAGGTATGCGTGTACGTGCGTATGTATGTATTGGTGGGAGGTATGCGAGGTTATGATAACAGTACCAATTGAGGCGAGCCGGCACGCACCGACACGTGTGTCAGCTCAGCACGCTCCCCCTCCCTTTCATCCCCCGGCATATTCCCTCCAGGGCAGGCAGTTTCACCTCCCCCCCCCCACACATCTCTATCTAAACCCTGAGCCATCCTCTCCCTTCCCCTCCTTCTTAGGCTGACCAAGTTGGGTTTGTCAACAGTCGCGCCACACTTGATGAGCATCTTGACGGCGTCCAGGTTGCCCTTCTCTGCCGCAATGTAGAGTGCGGTACTGCCGCCCTGAAATATGACGACACACACAACCAAATATACCTTTCATTCTGATTTGATTAATAAAAATCACAACGCAATTTGTTCTAGATATAGAAGCTGTTAGCTTCCTAAGAGCTTGATTCATAAGTCTTGCTTGCAACCCCATACGAGAATAGGGCAGCGGCAGCAGCAGCCGCAGCAGCAGCAGCAGCAGCAGCAGCAGCAGCAGCAGCCACCCAACACAGGAGAATAAATAAAGGATATACCATCGTGGTCATCGCGATGGTCACCCGCATGATGAGCAGTAACAAGCAGAAACCACATCCTCACACCTCCGCCTCCACCTCACCCTCAATCCGCATCTCACTCCCCCCTGCACTCACCGTCCCGGGGTAATCTGGGAAAGCGCCCTTCTTGAGCGCGGCCGCCACCTCAGCCCATTTGCCTGCTTTAGCCCCCGCCACCAGCTTCTTGTCCGCCTCAGCTGGCGGCAGTTTCGACGCCAGGCCCAATTTGGTGGCCATAGCCATCAACAGGCGCCTGCTGCCCCCCGCCACACGAACCAGGTCCTGAACAGCCTCCAGCAGCCCCGCCTCGCTGCGCTGGTCCAGCTGCTTCCAACAGAAATAACTGTAAACCGACCACACTCGATCCGCCTCCGACCAAGCCTGGTAGATGCCCGTGTGTGCGTCAAGAAGGTACGACACCAGCCAGTCCTTAGTGGGCGCCTCCGCCAGCTCCTGGGAGGGGATGGGTGGGATGGGGTATTTCGTGTACGGCATCTGATGTCAAAGGAGGAAGGATTTGCATATGTGTGCGCCCGTACTCGTACTCATACAAGTGCTTAGTAGACAGGCAGGAGGGGAAGGGGAAGGGAAGGGAGGGTGAAAGAGAGAGTACGACACAGCAGGCGATGGAAAGAGTGGAATCAGGAACTCCCCTCCTCCTCCCCCTGGCCCCAGCCCAGGCCCCCCCCTTAGGTGCAACCCCATTCCTCGCGCCTCCATTCATTCCCTGTCCGGCTCAAAACTTAGAAAGGACAGCTTACGGCTCTCGTTACAGGGCACCTTTGAAGGGTGACGCAACTCAAGCTGTAACACACAGACACACATCCCTGACCATGAACCCTGTTCCCTTCCCAAACCCCCCTTCCCCCAAACCCCCATTCTCATCCCCTAATGCCCTCCTACCTTGTTAGTGTGCCAGATTCCCACCGTCAAATCGAACAGATCTGCCAGTTGCTCCTCCAGCCCCTCTGAGACGTGCATGCTGCCAGTCTTGACAGTGGCCTCCAGCGGGTCTAGCAACGCATCCAGCCGCCGGCCCGCCTCGGCGCCCAACATCCTTTTGTACATCTCACTCGCACTGCGGTCCTCAGTGCTCCGCAACATCGCATCTACCACCATGCCCAGCCAGCTCTCAAGCGACAGCCAGTGACACAACCTCTCAGGCCGCCCAAACCGCGCCATGCGCTCCGCCAACGTCCACACGCGGGTGAAGTACTCCCGACCCGCGACAGTCTCCTTGGCCTGGATGCTTTCCAGCAATTTCAGCAGGATGCCCCATCGCGGCGAGGTCATGACGCGGCTGCGTACGACGCGCATGGCTTTGGTCAGCAGCAACCGCACCACACCGTCAGCTGGGATGCGAACGAATGTCGGCAATACGATCATGGCACGTGCGCGCGCATAAAACACCTTGGAGCGCAGCACCTCCACCATGGGAGAGGAGTTGTACTGGGGCACGCAGCTCCAGTCTATCCACACATACTGCATGCCCCGGTCCTGTGCACGGCGCAGTGTGGCAGTCAGCTCCGCGAATTGCACCTCGGACATGGGTGCAAAGCCCGGGGTGTACTCGGTGGGTTTGACGGCGCTCCAGCGCCAGCTGAGGATGATGGTAGTGTTCCAGGTGTCGGCGTCGACGTCAGCGTACGGCACCTCCAGGGCTTCCGTGGCGACATCGACTTCCTCGTAGACGCGGATGTTGGGCCAGGTCAGGACAACATCCAGGGAGAGCAGCCGCATGGGGGCCTTGCTGAGTTGGGGGGGCATTCCGTCGTGGAGGTCGCGGATGCTGGCGGGGAGCTGCTCCAGTTGCAGATTGTTTTGGGGGATGGAGGCCAGAAGGTCCTTGGGGGCGAGGAGGGAGGAGGCGCATGAGGATAAGGAGAGGGGGACGGAGAAGGGTAGGAAGGAATGAGCTTTAATTTTTACAGGATGCTGCAGAAATGGTTTGCTCTGCCCTGCTAAGGACTCAGATATATTATAAACACACACACAAGTTTGAACGTTCCGAAGATCCAGGGCGGGGCCTAGGGGGAAAGGGAGCAGATATTTGGCTGCTTAGTGCTCCCCGCACCCACATTCCCACACCTCTCATACCCTCCCACACACCTCCTGGCACCCATTCTTCTCAATCTCCTCATCTGCCTGGCGCCGCTCCTCCAACGTCGCAGCCTTTGCATCCTGAAGCCGCCTTCGCTCCTGTTCCTCAAGCTGCCGCCGCTCCTGTTCCACTGCTGCTGCCGCTGCCGCCGCCGCTTTGTCTGACACGGTAGTAGCAGCAGCAGCAGCTGTAGTGGCCTGAGGTCCCAATTCTTCCAGATTATCAGCAAGTACGGTCGCCGCTGGCAGTGCTGCCGGCATGGACGCCACTGGCGATAACTCCACTGCTGCAGCCACACCCACTGCTGCAGACGGCTGCACTGGCCCGATCAACATGCCAGTGCTCTGGGGCGCTGTAGCGGCAAGCGCCGCCCTAGAGGACGGGCCTCCAGCCGCCAACCTGGCCATCAGGTTCTCCAGCTGAGGCTGCAGCGCACCTACCAGGTCGTTCAGATGCCGCCTCTCCTCTGCGGCCTGCTCATCCAGACGCCGCCGCTCCTCTGCTGCCGCCTCGTCAAGCTGCATCCTCCGAGCCACGGCCTCTGCATCTAGCCGTGTGCGCTCCACCGCCGCCTCGTCATCGAGCTGCTTCCGTACCACGGCAGCCGCCTCGTCAAGCTGCTTGCGCTCCGCCGCCGCCTCCACATCTAGCCGTGTGCGCTCCACCACCGCTTCTGCATCTAGCCGCATGCGCTCCGCCACCGCCTCGTCATCGAACTGCTTCCGTACCACGGCAGCCGCCTCGTCAAGCTGCTTGCGCTCCGCCGCCACCTCTGCATCTCGCCGCGTGCGCTCCGCCGCCGCTTCTGCATCTAGCCGTGTGCGCTCCGCCACCGCTTCATCATCAAACTGCTTCCGTACCACGGCAGCCGCCTCGTCAAGCTGCTTGCGCTCCGCCGCCGCCTCCTCGTCTTTGCGTTTCCGAACCGCTGCCGCTTCCTCATCCAACTGCGCCCTCACCGCTGCAGTGTCCTCGTCCAGGCGCTTTCGAACTGCCCCCGCCTCCTCCGCGGCCGCTTCTGCCATCCGCCGCCGCTCTTCCGCGCCCTCACCATCCAAGCGAGCCCGCAGTGAAGCTGCCTCTTCATCCAGGCGGCTCCGCTCAGCAGCCGCATCTGTGTCTAATCGCCGCCGCTCCACCGCTGCAGCCTCGTCCAGCCGTTTGCGGTCCGCTGCCGCTGCCTCCTCCAAGGCCTTCGCATGCTCCTCCCTCTCCTGTTTCAGTTGTAGTCTTAAGCTAGCCGAGTCTTCCATGGGCTGCGTGGGCTGAGAAGCTTCCATGGTGGGCACCTGCCGCGGCGACATTTACGACGAATGCCAGCAGAAAGTTATGTCCAAAAGAGCAGGGCAGCAGGCACGCCACGGTAATAAATGAGATAGTCGTTTTTAATATATGAAAAATCCTAAGTCTGGATTAGGTTTCCAGGTATGGCATCTATGGCGTAGGTCATGCATGGCAGGCAAGTGCGAGCGAGAGCAGAGACGGACTCACCACCTGGTTGCGAGGTGTAGGCTGAACGCGCACGACATTGCCTGCCTCCTGTTGCATAGGGGACATTAATCATTAAAGTATGGACAGGTCATACCACCTGCCGACGGAGCTACCCTGTCGCGTACCGTGGAGCCTGCTCCACCCATGTTTAAGAATGAGATAAAAATGCAAGTTAACAGAGAAGTTTAAGCGCGAGCTTGCTGGTCAGGCACTGTTGTGCCGGTATTCGATTGTCTATGCCTTAGGTTTATTACGTTCCATGTTAAGCAGGCCAGTAATGCGAAGTATCTCTCTTATATGTATCTCCCTTATACGTCTAAATTAAATGCAAAAGCCTCGGACGCAAGTACTCATGTCAGCGTTACCGGCAGGGCAACTAGGCACTAAGGACAGGCGCCGCGTGAGATTCGTACAATGCAACAGCAATCATAAGCAGAGCTATGAGCTCTGCATGCCTACGAATGAATTACGGATGAGCCGGCGCGCGAATGTTGCAAGACCATGTTTGTACGGCAGCCTTAGATATGTGATATTGGCTAAATTTAAGCTGGGTAGTGATCAATTTGTAAAGTCGCATAGCGTTGAAGTATATAAGGTTTCATGATTCCTTGCGACACCACGACATGCTGTTAGAGATAAGAGTCCTTCAGTGAACACATCACTCGCTCATATCGTTACACAAGGAGAGAGAGAGAAAGGATACGCAAGCAGTATATAAGCATACCGTAGCCAATCCTGATCCGATGTCGTATTGGGATAACGGCAACTAATCAAACTACCGAAGTGTCAAGCCTGAGTGTACCTAAGAGCACTTTCCAAAACTCCCACGCGCTCAGGACTTGCACACGTTCATCGCTATACGATGCTTCTCAAACTTCTCAGTTGGTAAAGGCTTAGTTAAGCAATCAGCTACCATATCTTCCGACCTGCAATCTACCATCACAAGCGTACCGAGCGCTACCTGCTCCCGTACAAAATGATAACGCACAGAGATGTGCTTCGATTGCTTCGAAACAACCGGATTGCTCGCCAACCGAATTGCGCTCTGACTATCGCAATTGATCTGCGTTGGCTTGAGGTCGTAGCCGAGATCGCCAAGTAGTTGTCGCAACCATAAAGCCTCCTTAGCAGCTTCCGAAACAGCCATATACTCAGCCTCCATAGTGGACGCAGCCACGCTCCGCTGAAGTTTGCTAGCCCAACTAACTGTACCACCATGAAGAGTAAAGACATAACCAGACGTTGACCGCCGCGAGTCAGCACAACCCGCATAGTCAGCATCGCTATATCCGACCAACCTCTCATCTGCTCGTTCACCACCTAGAAGTAATCCGTAATCGGACGTTCCTGCCAAATAGCGTACTACCTCCTTCGCCGCTTTCCAGTCCGACCTGCTAGGATTCGACATGTGCCGCGCCAAAACTCCCACGGCTTGTGCAATGTCAGGACGAGTACATCCAGACACGTACAACAAACTGCCAATTAACTGGCTATACGGGAAACGCTCTCGATCCAGCCGATCTTCCACTGCAGCATTAGGTAAGACGGTTCCAGGACTCATAGGTACAGACTTCGGCCGTGAATTAGCCATGCCATAAAGACCCACAATGTCCTTAACCATACGCCCCTGAGAAACGGTAATTACCATGTTCGCTCGATCGCGCTTAAGAGTAAGACCCAAAAATAAACTTGCCTCTCCTAAGTCGCGGCACTCAAACCGCCGCATGATAGCCGCCTTTACTTCTGAAACGGCTCTCTCGCTCCAAGACGCAATCAAAACGTCGTCTACATAAACCAAAAGATATACAACCTCGCCTTGTTTACGGCGAACAAGTAAACTAGGGTCCGCACTCGACGCGACAAAGTCCATCGACACTAATTCTTCACATAACGTGTCATACCATGCACGCGACGCTTGGCGAAGGCCATACAAGGCCTTATGAAGAAGACAAACTATCCCCGGGCCTCCCTCTTCAAAACCGGGGGGTTGTTTAACATAAATCTCTTCTTCTAAATCGCCATTCAGAAACGCCGTCTTGACATCTAGTTGGTGCAATTCCATATCGGCGCCAGCTACCATGGACAAAAAAGTACGCAAGGTAGTGTGGCGACTTACCGGCGCAAAGACCTCCTGGAAATCCACACCCTCACGTTGCATAAAACCTTTCACTACTAGGCGTGCCTTGAACCGTTCAATGGCACCATGCTTGTCACGCTTCAATGAGAAAACCCACTTAACGTCAAGAGATCTGTTGTCCTTGGGCTTCGGCACTAAGGACCAAGTACCCTTCGCACGCAAAGACTCAAGCTCTTCAAGCATTGCAGCACGCCAAACTTCAGCATAGGGAGATGCCATTGCTTCCTCGTAAGATTCCGGAATATCGACATCATCATCCGACTCTTCCTCCATCTCTACGCGGAAAGCAAAACGTTTGGGTGGAACTCCGGCATTGGAACGCTTTTCCCTACCAAGAGCTAACGGCAAATTATTGTTCGCATTGGACGGTCCTGGCATTTGACGGCCCCTGCGTCAGACGGCCCTGCGTTGGACGGCCCTGCGTCAACCAATCTTTCATTGACCTCCTCATCCACTTCACCGTCATCCTTCCTATCAGACTCGGACCATTCCGGAGCCTCATCGTCATCAATCAACGGCCCCGGCTCGTCATCCGACCCCTTGTCGCCAGCCGGCCCGCCTACAGGATTCATCTCGATCTCGACCAAGGGCGCCCTCTGGGGGCCCTCATCATCAGTACCGGAAGAGAGCGACTCCTCTATCGAATCGAGCAAATACGCGACACTATACATGATTCCCTCATCGAAAACCACATCTACACTAACACGAATCCGCCCTTCTGCTGGGATCCATACGCGCCACGCACTAAATTTAGGTTCATACCCAACTAGGATACCCTTGACGCAGACCGGGTCAAGTTTATTTCTAAGCGCCTTCGGAACCTGTACATAAGCCACGCACCCGAATACCCGTAGCTTAGAAACGTCCGGGGGCTTTCCAGTAAACAGCTCCCACGGCGTCTGTACAGTCCCCTTCGTAGGACACACGTTGCGCAAGGCGTTGGCCGTCATTATTGCCTCTCCCCACAGCTCCGGAGGTACGCCCGAATCATATTGCATGGCCCGCACACGCTCCAGCAAAGTCCTGTTCAGGCGCTCCGCTGCTCCGTTTTGCTCTGGTGTATACGGGGCCGACTTCTCATGCACAATACCCCTCTCAGAAAAGAAGGAGGCAAGGCGATCGTTGACGTACTCCGTGCCGCAATCAGTTCGGACGCAACGAACTTCTAGACCAGTCTGCCGTTCCCACTTAGTCAAAACCTCACGAACAGCAGCGGGGACTTCGCTCTTTGCGCGAACGCAACGAACCTCGGAGTATTTGCTAAAATCGTCGTAGAAGGTAGCGAAGTAGTTGGCTCCACCCAGCGACGTGACCGGCATCGGGCCGCAAAGATCCATATGGACGAGGTCGAGCACGCGTTTGCCCTTGTGCGTCGATGAATGATGGGGGCTGCGGGTCATTTTTCCCATAACGCACGGCTCGCAGACCTTGCTCTC